ATTAGAGCATAAGCTTTCGTGGGCTGTAGTCCACGAAAGCTTATGCTCTAATAAATTTGTTAGTCTCGAAGGTGCCACAAGTACTCCTGTTCTTCCTGCTTTATATGCCTTTCTTCATGGCCAGGCCCAATTTCCAATGATACCATAGCCACTGTGACTTAAATGCACTGTCAATACTTCAGCTGCCTAATGCCTCTCCTCCGAACTTGCACTTTTTAAAATATCTGCTTCCCCATTCAGAATAGTCCAGAGGCCAGTGGATGGGACACTCACTTGAAAGGTGACAGAGCCCATTCAAATCCTTTCAGGAGAAGGGGGGACTTGAACTGGGGGTCTCCTATAGCCTAGTGGATAGGGGACTCACCCGTACTAACAGTTATAGGGAATGTGCCTCCTCCCTCCCCCAGATGTTTCGTGTGAACTTGTCTGAGGGCCCCGATCCGGTAGGTGGCCTTTGAGCTTGCCTGCTGGATTGGGCCCCGGCATGCCACGCAGGCAGATGAACACCCATTTTCCTGGCTTGTGACTCGCGCTGGGGTGGGAGGCAGGAGTCTGGCACCTAGCAGGCTGCAGCGGCGCACGTGCCCAAAGGGAAAAACGTTGGTGCTGCGTGAGTTGAGGCAGCAGACGAGCAGATCGGTGGATCACAGAGGTACCTAACAATGGGCCTTCAGCACCAGGATTGCACCCGGAACGCTCACCGGGCAGCTGTTTCCTGGGCAACTCCTGTGCCAACATTCCATTGCCTGGCAGAGCCTAGGATCTCCTGGGGGCAGCTGAGAGGTCCTTTGGGTGCAAGTGAAGGAGCAGAGTGAACCCTGCAGGGTCCTCCTGCCTACGCTGGGCTATGGCCGCTCTCTCTCTCTTCCTCGACGTCCCACTCACCAGGGAAGTGGACTGGCTCCTGGATGCCTACCGGGAGGATCCATCCCCTGACAAGGTGTACCTTGACCACAGGGGTAGGTCCTGCTGGTTGGGTGCCACACGCTCTGGGCTGCACTCTTTTCTCCACCAAGGACAGGATGTCGTCTGACTGCAGGGGAGCCTAAAATGGGGGTCTGTGGTCAGCATTCACAGCTCCACGCCTCTTCCAAGGGCATTGTAAATTCCAGCTCAAGGAGGCATAACCATGCTAGCTCTGATCAAGCTGCTGTGCACAGCAGTGTGACCAGCAGCAGGGTGAGCTGCCCCTCATCTCAGCGGGGTACATACTTGGGCCAACTAGCCCCTCATGCTGCTGTGGCCACATCCTTTTTTTAACCTGTTAGCTTGAGAGCTAGGAATTACACCCCCAGCTCACAGTGTAGACAGACCCTGAGTAAGAGCTCCAGCCCCTCAGAGTTGGAAATAAGTCCTGTCATGGGAGTCTGGGTTTGTTTTCTCTTTGCTAGGACTGAATCACATTTGCTCACTTTACCAAACAAAAGGGGTGAAAACCTTGCCCTGTTGAAATCAGTGGGAGTTTTGCTGTTGACTTTAAGGGGGTTCAGGATTTCATGCATGGTATGTTAACAACCAAGGTGACAAACCTCCCCAGGGGGTGTCACCCTTCTCACCATCACCAGACATAATGACAGTAAAGAGGAGGCATGAAGTGAAATAGACCCCAACTCAAGCTCAGCACAACAGTACAGCGTGAAGTCAGCAGTGATGAAGCAAAGGTACAGATGGGACAGAGAGGCAGTCTAGGAAGGTGACTTCTTGTACAGCTCCTTGTCTGACTCCGGCCAGGCTGTAAGGATTGCAAATGTCTTTGGCAGATAGAGTGGTAACAGCTGGTTTTCTCCTGTTAAAGAAAAAGCCCCCTTAAAGATGCAATGAAATAAGTTATTGTTTGTAGAGCTGTGGAGTCCTGCACGTGAGGAGCCACCAAGCACCTGCTGCTGGTCATGTCTTCTGCTGTGGGTACCTTGTCCTGCTGTCTCTGCAGCCACTGCCGGTTGGCCAGTAGTGGGATCAGGCATTAGCCATAGGTGCCTGGGCACACAAAGCATGGTACCTGCAGGTTGGGGGTTGAGGTCCCCAAGTGCATCTCTGGGAAAAAGAGAAGCTGGAACTGCTGCTGTCTGGGTACCTTCTCGGGGGCTACACAAAGGCCACGAGTCTTCAGTGCTGCAGACATGCACCTCCCAGCAGCAGTTGTGTCACATAGAATTTTACTTAAAGGAAAGGATTTCTTAAAAAAAACTAGCAAACAGTGTGTGGCTGGGACAAAGGTGACACCATGGGTGCTGAGGTTGGGAGCTGGGTTGTAGCACAGATGATATGGACCCTTGTATCCCTATGTAGGTCACCAGCAGTTTGAACCAGGGCTTTTTGTGCCACACAGTCCTTAGTAACTGGCAGTAGCAGCAGGAGGCTGTTCTCCTGCCAGGGCCTGGCCATTAGAAGGGACAGTGATGCACATGTCACCCGTGGACAGCTTGGCCCGCTCTTTCTTCTTGCAGACTGCCACACTGAAACGGGCAAAGCGTGGGTCTGCCCAACCGTGAGACAGACCCTGCTGCAGATCGCCAATGACCCAACCCTGGACCACGAGTACCTCCCGGTGCTTGGGTTCCCCGAGTTCACCAGGGCAGCTACCGAGCTGGCGCTTGGCAGGGAGAGCCGTGCTGTGATTGAGAACAGGGTATGGACTCTGCAAGCTGCTGCTGGATGCTGAAATCTCTGAGTTTGGAAAGACACCCCACCCGCAAGAGAAACCATACAGCTCTCCCCTACCCTCAATAGGCAGGCAAACCCCATGGGGCCCCCATTACACCTTCTGAGCCCCTGCTCAGTGCTTCTCACGGTAACTTATGGCTACTTCATCAAGCCTTTAGGAACCAGCCTGGCCCATCTATCCCTGTCCCCTCTCTGTTAGGGCCAGTCCACACACAGCTTTTGTACCACTCTAATTATCAGTGAGTAACCAATATGATTACAACCTTACAGCTCCCTAGAGTAGGTGCAGTTATACTGTGCAATGGCAGATCTGGCTGGAGCTACCATAGACCATGGCAACAAATCTGCCAGTGAGCATTGCCTGTTCCCACTACTAGCTGCATACCTGTGCCTCAGACACCAGCCCCAGTAACCCAGATGCAACCCTTTAATACAACTGTCGGTTTCCTGATTCCTAAGCCCTCAGTCTAGCCAATAGCCAAGTTGCCTCCAGGAAAATATCCACTGAGCTGTCATCTCCAGGTGGCTTTCCATGGACTTTAAAGACCCCAGGGCTCGTTTTGTAAGACCTGGGGAGAGGGGAGTGCCAGTGTGCAGTTGGACAGAATGTCCACTTCCTAACTGTGGTCTACTTAGCTATCATCCTTGAAGGCTGGCCTTCTGGTGGTGATGCTGGCCTGGTCCTCCAGCGATCTGGCTTTGATTCCCAGCTCTGCCACAACTACCTGTGAAAAGTTATTGCATCATTCTGTGCCTTAGTTCCCCATCTGTAAAATGGGCCAGTAATCCTGCTGTATCTGTGTAGACTGTAAGGTCTGCAGAGGCAGGTCTGTCTCTTGCACCTAGCACAATGGGGCTTTCAGGCACTACCAGACTGACCTTGCTAAGGAAAAGGTCTCTGTGTTTCAGTGGTGAATAAAAATGATTATTCTGAGTTATCTACAGTTTTAAAAACACCTCTCCTAGACTCTAGGCCCATTGACACAATTCGAAAACCACTCAGATTCCTACAAAAACAGTTCTGATTGGAAAATCTCACTCCCAATGGAGAGGAAAAATAATATTGAAAATCATGGCAATTTTTGTGAAACTATTTTTTCCCCTTTCTGCTGTCTGCCTCCTTTGTGAAGGGGCCTCGGGGTGAGAGATGCTCTAAGGACAGAAGCTGCCAGCCAGGGTAGGGCTTTTCTGTCTAGTTTGGCTTCCTGGTGGAGGATGTACATTGTCCCTGACGAATTGCAGAAACATGGTTCTGTGTACTGTGTGACGGTGGAGGTAGTGTCCAGAGTAGGCTAGTTTGAATGTGTGGGACAGGGGGCCCATGTACAAAGGGATATTCTTCCAAGCCCTGCGCAGCACTGCATCCTCTCAGGTGCTGTCATTATAGCTCATCTCTTGCAGGTATTTCCATGTTCTGAGGGGACCATGTTCTAGTTTACTAGAGATGCAGCAGCCCTGAGACATTGGTCTAACAGGCAGTTGATGTTAAAGATGATGCTCTCTTGTCTCCATGTAAGTCAGGCAGGTGGCGTTCACACAGTAGGAGGGACGGGAGCTGTTCGAATTGGAGCCGAATTCCTCCGGCGCTGGTACAACACAAGTAGTCCGAGTCCCATAGCGGTTTATATTGCCTTGTCGCAGTGGGGTAAGTGATGTGTGCTTGAGCACTGGTTTCAGTATTGCTCTATATGTGATACAGGGAGGCGGCAGCACCTTGCATGGGAAAGGCCAGTTCGGTAACAGGGTGAGCACAGGGTAGTCGTATTACAAAGGAAAACCAAACGGCGTTTAACTGTGCAACAGCAGCTCTGAAACACAACAGAACTCTCAACGTGTCTAACGACCAGGTGCAGCGCGGGCAGCCCCATGCCTCTCTGCTGAGCCTGCTGGTGGGTTAGTGGTGGTTTGTAACCCCCGAGACGCGGGGTGTAGCTCGGACGATCCCCAAGGGGCACTGCTCTCCCAGCTGTTTTAAGCCTGGGAGCAGGTGATATTTTGGTGTGTACAGGAATTCTGCTCAGCATTAGGAATTGGGCTGGGATCCCTCTGCTTTTCCCACAGCTATTGCTTTTCTCCGCCTTGCTCACCAGCAGTTTGAATGAAGCCCCTGGGGGCATTAGCTCTTCACATGAGAATGACACTATGAAGAAATCACCGGGGCACCGCTGAGTCCCGGGTAACAGCTTCTAACAGTGAGCACCATGAGAGAGCTCATCAGCTATTTCCAGGGCTAGTACCCAATTCCTGTCCGCTACACCCCTGCTCACCTGCCTGGTTTATGTCCCCGCAGACAGCCTCCGGTGTATATTCCAAGATGCTGGCTTTACAGAGATCCGGCCATACCATTACTGGGACACCGGGAGGCTGGCTGTAGCCATAGAAGAATTCCTGGAAGTGCTGGAGGTATGGAGCTGGCTGGAGCTTTGCCAGGTGCTTCTTGTCCTAAACCCAAGTCTATTCATGACTCACAGTGGGCAGCCCGTGCTGGCAGCTCAGCCACTCTCTTGCTTTCAGAGTGCCCCGGACTGCTCCATAGTTGTGCTGCATGCTCCCGAGGAAACCGGCCTGACTCCCAAGCAGTGGGAAGAAGTTGCCAGGGTCATGGGGGTAAGTCTGAGAGCAGGGGCTTTTCTCCAGCTCCTGTCGCCACTGGCCCTGCCTGCCACGCTGGACAGTGTCTCACTGTGTGCTCCGTTCCCTGCTGTGTCCCCAGAGGAAGCGCCTCTTCCCCTTCTTTGATGTCCCGGCTCAGGGGCTGGCCTCCGGAGACCTGGACAGAGACGCCTGGGCTCTG